TTCGTATAATTTAGAATTTTTGGTAAAAGAGCAAGTTTGATTATTCGTGCTTAAAATGTGTTATTTTCATCTTCATATTACATTGCGAAAATGACTACTCATGATATTATTCACGCTGCACGATATTAATTTGTATGAGTATCTAATTTTGTATATAATATTCATAAAAATTTTTTATGATATAACGAAAAGGAAATGCGTCAATAGAATTTATTATTTTCTACAATTTTTGTCGTGTATTTTTTGTTATAATGGCAAGTGTTTTCCTTGATTAAATCCAAATTATCTTTACATCTACGCTGTTTTAAACCCTTTCTCGATTTCCTTTAGCGACTCTCAGTGATATGACTTGCGTGTTTTTTAAACTGTAGTTTATTATTGTATAAAATAATAAACTTCAATTTATGAAATATCGACTAAATTAAGAAAATATTTTTAACACTTTCTTCTCTTAATAATTATTTAAAACTTTTTGACAAAAAATTCAAATAATAATTATGAATCTATAACGCCATGTTAAACATAATCACGTGAAGTGAAAAATTAACAGATTATTTATTTAACTTTTATTATTTTTTAATTATATAAAATAATATTATATTATTTTGAAAATAGCGATTTATTTGTAATGTAAGTAAAGTAAACTGGAAACTGGTTTGGCATGGCGTGATTGAATTTCTGAAAATTAGATAACGAATAAGGCATTAACAGACAAATTGTTATAAAATACTAGAAAATGCAACATCTGATAGAAAAGCATCTGATTATTACAATTGCAGTTCTGAGTATAGAATTTCCGATTAATTTCTTTTTGGATACTTTATGTGTTAAAAAACATTAACAGTAGTGATAACAATCAAAATGATCCTATTATAATGTATGATTTATAGTTGACGCGAAGGTCGAGAAAGAAAACACCTGACCGAAGCAAACGATTCGAATGAAACAAAGATTCGTTAGAATCGTTTGCTTCGAATCGAAAGTTGCTTCGGTCAGGTTTGCTTTCGAATCGAAAGTTGCTTCGGTCAGGTGTTTTTGCAATTAAGGACACAAAAGCATTTACATGTGATACTAATAAAGTTTACTAAATTATCTGAATTTTTTTCCTTATTAATTATTATTTCCATTTTTACATTGTTTATTTTATAATATATATATATAATATATATTTGGCTACTGTCTTTAAAACCAAATAATGCAAAAATCCAGAACTCTGCTTCTACGAAAGTTGACGGATATTACGTCCAGTTCTTTATAATGATAAAAAAAAAATAAATATACTTAATTTAAAATTTTGAAGATTAAGTCATTTTCTTCGTTTTCTTTAAATATTAATCCGGTTAATTATCTGCAACGTTGCATACAAAAGCACAACTCCTACTCTGCAGATGTAATGTATAATACCAGCAACGGATGGCTTACATTTTCTGGCTAAATATAAAATTTTAATGCGGCTATCTGTTATAAAAATCTTTTAAATAAAATATGATATTTTTTATTATTATAAAATGGCAAAAAGCGTAATGTTTTCATTCTTATTATTGTTATTTTCCGTTCTAAAATCTATCGAAAGAAAAGCGTTGTTTCATATGTAGATATCATTTTATATATATCTCGTTTAATATTATACCTGTACTCTGTTCAATAGAAGAATTGATCTGTACTTGTAGATTAGTCTGATAAAAGTCATGATCTAAAAAAAGCCAAGACATTGCGCGAGTTTCTCATCAGAGAGCACGAACACTAAAACGTTATTTTGATTGTATCGAAAACGAGGACACGGACTTCTACTTTTTACATTTAAATAGCTATAACTCATTATTAATGATTGAGGAAATAAATACTTATTACATATTCGATTAGTATAGCCAAAAAGTAGAAATGTTAACGTAATATTTATTAATTAATCTATTGTATAGGTTGACTCAATAAATATTATAGTTTCTTGAATAAAAAGTAAATAATCTATAATTATAAATATTTTGGATTTCTGTCAAATTAAAAGCTTGATTTAACTTCTAAGACATTTAAATATATTTCACCTGCGATATCGACTATTATTAATTATGTTAAGCTGGAGGAAAAATGCAGAACCTTGAAAATGTCCAAATTTCGTAAGTATTTGCGTGACACAAAAAATATAATATTGAATAAATAATATGTTAATTTATGAAAGAGAATGATTAATTTAGTTTTGTTTAAGATAAATGAATTTCTAAACATTAAATGTTTAGTAAAAATAATAGCAGTCCCCTCCACGCGTTGTTGTGGCTCAAAATGTATTTATTATAAACGTATAACAAAATCAAACGAATCAAATCAAACGATCAAACGAAAATGGAATCTATCAATAAAGTGAATTATTTTCTAAAATTTTTGTTCAGTGTCTTGTGTTATAATGTCACGTGTTTTGCTTGTTTAAATTCCAATTTTTTTTTTAAATGCCACTCTATGCGAAACCAGTCTTTGACTTATATTAACGACCTTCAGTGAAACGAGTGGTTATTTTCTAAATCTATTTTAATACTGTATAAAGTAATTTATTAAAAAGCGAATCATTTAGGAAAATATTTTTAACAGTGTCTACTATGAATTAATTATTTAAAATTTTTAAACAAATAATTTATATAATAATTACGAATTTATAATGTCACGTTAGAAATGATCAACTAAGATTAGAAAGAACAGTATATTTATATTACTTTTTATTGTAATTTCCTTAATGGTATAAAATAATATAATATAATTTGAAAAACAGCAATTTATTTGAAGTGATGGTGTGTAAAGTGAGCTTTCAACTAGTTTAGCATTTTGTGACTGACTTTCTGAGAATATGAAAACGAATTAAACTATGAAATTTCTGATTTTTTTTTTAAATAATATTTTAAAAAATAAATTTCGAAATTTCTCTGTGTACTGTGTTCCTTTTACATATAATACATATAATTTATAATCATTTAAATTATTTAAATTACAATAAAAATAGTTTTACATTGTAATAAAAATGAACGAATTATAAATTTAAAAATGATTTAATTATGAATTATTTTTTATCATATTACTAATGATTATATATGTTATATATGTTAATTTGTTATTTATTTGGGCTCCAATTTGAAAATTTTATAGACGTATATAATTTAACTGTTGTCTGTCTGTCTAACTTTAGTCTCGAGCCCAGATCTCAGATAGGTAAAAATCGAGAATACGGTTCATAACCATTAGGGCAGGAGACACGGATTAACTTACAGGAATGTATAATGAATACAGGTATACCTCGCCTTAAGTCGGTAATTGGTTCCAGGACGTTTCAGAAGAGGCGACTTATGTCGAATTTACTTGTCTCCAAATTTACTCGTCACTAAAAACACCAATATTGAGCACTTAAAGACCGCTAAATAAGACGACATCACAGAAACACAGATGTTTTCATGTTTCATTCTCTAGGATTTATGATAATTATATTAACATTTACACTAAAAACACCAATATTGAGCACTTAAAGACCGCTAAATAAGACGACATCACAGAAACACAGATGTTTTCATGTTTCGTTCTCTAGGATTTATGATAATTATATTAACATTTACTATAAATGTACATATTTTAATATGATTTTGTAACCGTAGGGTCGGTGTCTCTTTGACACCCCGTCAGGATGTGACACCGCCGAGTCTTGCAGGACTCGGAAATCGCGACATTATGTCACGCGAGTGGTAGCGTACGAGGTTTGGACGAGGAATGGAAAAAACTGAGAGAAAAACAGAAGAAACTGCACTCAAGAAGTTTTAAACATAAACAACCGTTTATTTATATAAAATCTAAATTAGGTTTACATCAGTGAATAAAATGCTAACTTAACAATAGTAAAATGAATACACACTGGTTTCGAACTCTTTTGTTTCTGTGATTCAAGTTTTACTTCATTATCTGTAGAATTTAGTGAGTTTCTCGTTACATAGTTTATTTGTCTCGTTGTATAATATATAACAGTCATCTGCATAGCTTTAAAAAATTTCTGATTATGCTTTTATTTTATTGTGTATAGTTAGCATGACCGACTCTGCCAGGTTGGATCTATACACGTGTACAGATGTAAAAACTGATAAGTTACAAATGTCCACCTGGGCAAAACATACTCAAAATTTATATACAGCATGTTTAAGCATTACAGAAAATACAGAAAATAAATTTACATTATAATTTCTTAATCTTCTCCAGAACAAGAATCAAATGTATAATGTAACATCAAAATTGGGACGGATGTAAAGCTTAATGTCTATCGAAAGAGCTTCATTGTGAAATACGGATAAAAATTGTTAATGTGCAAAACGTTAGGATTCCAACTGTATTAGGATAACAATTACAGCATTCATTTCATAGAATAATGACAGGGCTTACAGTTACATCATGCGTTCCAGAAAAACAATTAAATGGAAAATACACCTTTGCGTAAGTTTTGAAGACGTATTGTTTTCATTCCTTAACAAATATTCATGAAAATATGAAAAATAACAATAAAGGATAGACAATTAGAAAAGTTCTCAATATAATACTTTCAAATAGCGATTAAGTTACATAAGAAAAAATACTGTGTAATAAAGTGAATTTCGAAATTATTTTGCAAATAAATCCCGCTTAACTATAATAAAGAATATTTAATACTTACACACAGTACATACTTTAAGGTATTTTCGTATAACTTTTAAATAATAACTTGTTACATATTTTCAACGTTAGCGGATATTCAATATCACAACTGATGTGTAAAAATTAAACACATAGAAAAAAATTGGTAAATTTTAATTACAATTTGTATCAAAGTAAAATTGAAATAAACGTAATTAATAAATCTTTTAAAATTATCCGATCATTTATTCTGATTATCCTGAAAATTTCATAAAATTTCTTTCCAAATTACGAGAGAATAGGAAATGAATTAAATCTTTTAGAATAGGAAATGAATTAAATCTTTTAGAATAGGAAATGAATTAAATCTTTTAAAAAATAGCAAAAACGAGCGCCAGAATGACTGGAATAAAAAATAACGCGTGAAAAGCAGTTTCCATAGCAACAAGAATTACAATTTTCACAAATGCCAAAAGAAAATATGTATCAGAATATAAAATTAATATTCCTAATGCTGTGGTCATAGATCCTTGCAGTATTGGAAAGCCTAAACGATACAGAGAGTCTTTCAGTTTTTCATTCGCTGTTTTACAATGTGACATGAAATAAGCGTAGGAAATATGAGCAGGATAATTCACGCTAAATCCTACACATAGAATAAGACTCATCATTGAAATAATATCTAAGTTGTTCCCCCACAGAGACATGTAACCTAAAGTTTCGACAACTGTACATACTACAGATATTGCAACAACAATCGAGACCGATATGCTTGGTACGAATATTAAAAAGGTTGCCGTTATTAGTACAGCAGTGATCCAAAACAATTGGTAAATCATTTGTCGAATGATGATTCCTTGTTCAATTACACTTGACTTAATACAATGCACTAGGACAGCAATGTCGGATTCGTCAGCAATTTTTAATAAATCTCTTAGTAAATCTGTTTCTATTTGTGACGAACTCAATTCTTTTCCCATAATAAAAAACCTACTGTATAGGATATGAGTATTGTTGCTGTTAAAGACAACATCATTAGAAAATGACTGAGCAGCTCTGATATTGAAAAATACATTGCGTAGCCCATCGATGAAGTCTCGTTCATTTGACATATTGTAACCTTGTAAAGAAAACTTTGCTACGGGAGTTTTCTGAAATTCTTTGTAGAATTTCATCCAGGATACAGCGAATTCTTCTCCAGCGATATTGGGATGTTCTTCGAATTTCCTTAACAGAGTTTTTATGGAATTTTGAATTTTTATGTTTGAGTAATCCAACGTTTCATTAATAATTATGTGAAAAGGATATGAGTAACGTGTAAAATACTTGAAATTTATTCTAATGCCTTCTGTAATCAGGGAGTCTTTTTCAAATAAATGTTCGTATTTAACACCGTCTTTTATGAAAAATGTGCCGAAAATTCCTAACGATAAATTAATAATAAAAATTATAATAATAGTTACCTTCACCAAGGGATTCGACAGTATTTTTCCTAATAAATTTTTAAACAGAGCCATAGTAAATTCTTCTTCTCTAGCATTATTTTCATTAGGATATTCTTCAGTTCGTTCTGAAATAAAAATATTCACAAGTTATATATCAAATAAGCAATGAAAAAGTCGATTGATATTAGATAATTTCAATGTAAAATTGTTATAAAATTTCTAGTAGTTAATTAGTGACATATAGGTGAACCAGGCTGATTTTTGAGAGTCGTAAGATGTTGCAAAATATTTTAAAGTTATTTTCTATTTAAAACTAACAAAAAATTGTGTTAAGATTATTATTTACTTGACGTTAGAGAAATGTTCGTTAAAAATATTTACTGTACCAATATAATAATAAGAAATGGTTTAAATCTACTTTATTTGGTTTATCATAAGGTTTATGTCTATTATTATATATTAATAATTTATATTTACTCTTAATAAAAGTAAATATTAACACTAGGAGGAAAGACTTATCAGTCTCATTCAGATTCTTCAAACAAATAAATTCGTGGAAATAAATGTGTCGCGACTTCACACAGTTTTATTAGGAACATCACAATGATTTTATGATGAGTGATAAGAACTTTTATTACTAGTATGCATTTCTGACACAAAGGTCTTTATCAGCCATGCATGATTACACTGGTCACTACAAAGAGATAATCTATTTGTATCTATTTGTTGTTACCATTATATTTAAATAAGGCTGTAGAGAATCCTTGCCACGGAAATGCATCTAATATATAATCGAGACGGGTTGATAATAATAATAATAATAATAATAATANATAAGTTAAATTAATATTAATTATTAAAGCGAAGCGAGCAAGCTGAGCTGGCAAAAGCGATAAATTTGAATAGTATTTCGCATTAATAGTAAAATTTCTTGGCAAAAAATTGCAAAATATTTTCGTATTCGAATGTCATGTAGCGCGTGCCAGTTTGCTTACGTTATTTATCTCTCTAACTTTGTTCTCGAGATTAAGTGAAGACAGACACAAAGTCGAATGGACAGACAGGCGACAGTGGAAGTTTATAGGTCTAAAGATTTTTTTTAAGTTGCAGCCCAACGAACAGAAATTGTATGATCTGAACAACAATTTCTTTAAATTACTAGCCATACGTTTCCAATTATACATTTTCCTTATTCTTCTATCATTAAATTTGCGTGTCGTAGCTTATAACTTTTTCTATTTTTCAGAAAATCATTCATGCAATGTGAAACAAGTTTTTAGCATTGGCGACTTTAATTACAAATGAGTAGTTTTCCATATTATATTATATCATTTTATACGATTAAAATCAAATAAAAACATAAAATAATTATATTTCGATGATTGTTACAGTTTAGGAAAATAATTTTCGCATCTCATTAGTATTTATTTATTATTATGATTATACATAAATATAATTTATTTTCTTAATCCAATGCTATGAAAGTTAAAAAATTTGATATCTTGAATTTCGATAAAAATGTGTCGCAGCAATGTCATAGTTTAGACTGATAAACCTGGATTAAATATTTTATAAAAAGTTTTTATTACGCTCATTCTATTGAAGTACACAATAATTAATATTGATTTGTTAAAAAATAATTAATAATTTTTTAACTCGAAATGTAGTTAGGATGAGGGCAAGGATTAGTTATTAATTACTAAAAAAAATAAAGTTGTTATATATACTGTAACGATTAATATTGATATACAACACAATATTTTTGCTATGAGATCTGTTATTTTCGTATAATTTAGAATTTTTGGTAAAAGAGCAAGTTTGATTATTCGTGCTTAAAATGTGTTATTTTCATCTTCATATTACATTGCGAAAATGACTACTCATGATATTATTCACGCTGCACGATATTAATTTGTATGAGTATCTAATTTTGTATATAATATTCATAAAAATTTTTTATGATATAACGAAAAGGAAATGCGTCAATAGAATTTATTATTTTCTACAATTTTTGTCGTGTATTTTTTGTTATAATGGCAAGTGTTTTCCTTGATTAAATCCAAATTATCTTTACATCTACGCTGTTTTAAACCCTTTCTCGATTTCCTTTAGCGACTCTCAGTGATATGACTTGCGTGTTTTTTAAACTGTAGTTTATTATTGTATAAAATAATAAACTTCAATTTATGAAATATCGACTAAATTAAGAAAATATTTTTAACACTTTCTTCTCTTAATAATTATTTAAAACTTTTTGACAAAAAATTCAAATAATAATTATGAATCTATAACGCCATGTTAAACATAATCACGTGAAGTGAAAAATTAACAGATTATTTATTTAACTTTTATTATTTTTTAATTATATAAAATAATATTATATTATTTTGAAAATAGCGATTTATTTGTAATGTAAGTAAAGTAAACTGGAAACTGGTTTGGCATGGCGTGATTGAATTTCTGAAAATTAGATAACGAATAAGGCATTAACAGACAAATTGTTATAAAATACTAGAAAATGCAACATCTGATAGAAAAGCATCTGATTATTACAATTGCAGTTCTGAGTATAGAATTTCCGATTAATTTCTTTTTGGATACTTTATGTGTTAAAAAACATTAACAGTAGTGATAACAATCAAAATGATCCTATTATAATGTATGATTTATAGTTGACGCGAAGGTCGAGAAAGAAAACACCTGACCGAAGCAAACGATTCGAATGAAACAAAGATTCGTTAGAATCGTTTGCTTCGAATCGAAAGTTGCTTCGGTCAGGTTTGCTTTCGAATCGAAAGTTGCTTCGGTCAGGTGTTTTTGCAATTAAGGACACAAAAGCATTTACATGTGATACTAATAAAGTTTACTAAATTATCTGAATTTTTTTCCTTATTAATTATTATTTCCATTTTTACATTGTTTATTTTATAATATATATATATAATATATATTTGGCTACTGTCTTTAAAACCAAATAATGCAAAAATCCAGAACTCTGCTTCTACGAAAGTTGACGGATATTACGTCCAGTTCTTTATAATGATAAAAAAAAAATAAATATACTTAATTTAAAATTTTGAAGATTAAGTCATTTTCTTCGTTTTCTTTAAATATTAATCCGGTTAATTATCTGCAACGTTGCATACAAAAGCACAACTCCTACTCTGCAGATGTAATGTATAATACCAGCAACGGATGGCTTACATTTTCTGGCTAAATATAAAATTTTAATGCGGCTATCTGTTATAAAAATCTTTTAAATAAAATATGATATTTTTTATTATTATAAAATGGCAAAAAGCGTAATGTTTTCATTCTTATTATTGTTATTTTCCGTTCTAAAATCTATCGAAAGAAAAGCGTTGTTTCATATGTAGATATCATTTTATATATATCTCGTTTAATATTATACCTGTACTCTGTTCAATAGAAGAATTGATCTGTACTTGTAGATTAGTCTGATAAAAGTCATGATCTAAAAAAAGCCAAGACATTGCGCGAGTTTCTCATCAGAGAGCACGAACACTAAAACGTTATTTTGATTGTATCGAAAACGAGGACACGGACTTCTACTTTTTACATTTAAATAGCTATAACTCATTATTAATGATTGAGGAAATAAATACTTATTACATATTCGATTAGTATAGCCAAAAAGTAGAAATGTTAACGTAATATTTATTAATTAATCTATTGTATAGGTTGACTCAATAAATATTATAGTTTCTTGAATAAAAAGTAAATAATCTATAATTATAAATATTTTGGATTTCTGTCAAATTAAAAGCTTGATTTAACTTCTAAGACATTTAAATATATTTCACCTGCGATATCGACTATTATTAATTATGTTAAGCTGGAGGAAAAATGCAGAACCTTGAAAATGTCCAAATTTCGTAAGTATTTGCGTGACACAAAAAATATAATATTGAATAAATAATATGTTAATTTATGAAAGAGAATGATTAATTTAGTTTTGTTTAAGATAAATGAATTTCTAAACATTAAATGTTTAGTAAAAATAATAGCAGTCCCCTCCACGCGTTGTTGTGGCTCAAAATGTATTTATTATAAACGTATAACAAAATCAAACGAATCAAATCAAACGATCAAACGAAAATGGAATCTATCAATAAAGTGAATTATTTTCTAAAATTTTTGTTCAGTGTCTTGTGTTATAATGTCACGTGTTTTGCTTGTTTAAATTCCAATTTTTTTTTTAAATGCCACTCTATGCGAAACCAGTCTTTGACTTATATTAACGACCTTCAGTGAAACGAGTGGTTATTTTCTAAATCTATTTTAATACTGTATAAAGTAATTTATTAAAAAGCGAATCATTTAGGAAAATATTTTTAACAGTGTCTACTATGAATTAATTATTTAAAATTTTTAAACAAATAATTTATATAATAATTACGAATTTATAATGTCACGTTAGAAATGATCAACTAAGATTAGAAAGAACAGTATATTTATATTACTTTTTATTGTAATTTCCTTAATGGTATAAAATAATATAATATAATTTGAAAAACAGCAATTTATTTGAAGTGATGGTGTGTAAAGTGAGCTTTCAACTAGTTTAGCATTTTGTGACTGACTTTCTGAGAATATGAAAACGAATTAAACTATGAAATTTCTGATTTTTTTTTTAAATAATATTTTAAAAAATAAATTTCGAAATTTCTCTGTGTACTGTGTTCCTTTTACATATAATACATATAATTTATAATCATTTAAATTATTTAAATTACAATAAAAATAGTTTTACATTGTAATAAAAATGAACGAATTATAAATTTAAAAATGATTTAATTATGAATTATTTTTTATCATATTACTAATGATTATATATGTTATATATGTTAATTTGTTATTTATTTGGGCTCCAATTTGAAAATTTTATAGACGTATATAATTTAACTGTTGTCTGTCTGTCTAACTTTAGTCTCGAGCCCAGATCTCAGATAGGTAAAAATCGAGAATACGGTTCATAACCATTAGGGCAGGAGACACGGATTAACTTACAGGAATGTATAATGAATACAGGTATACCTCGCCTTAAGTCGGTAATTGGTTCCAGGACGTTTCAGAAGAGGCGACTTATGTCGAATTTACTTGTCTCCAAATTTACTCGTCACTAAAAACACCAATATTGAGCACTTAAAGACCGCTAAATAAGACGACATCACAGAAACACAGATGTTTTCATGTTTCATTCTCTAGGATTTATGATAATTATATTAACATTTACTATAAATGTACATATTTTAATATGATTTTGTAACCGTAGGGTCGGTGTCTCTTTGACACCCCGTCAGGATGTGACACCGCCGAGTCTTGCAGGACTCGGAAATCGCGACATTATGTCACGCGAGTGGTAGCGTACGAGGTTTGGACGAGGAATGGAAAAAACTGAGAGAAAAACAGAAGAAACTGCACTCAAGAAGTTTTAAACATAAACAACCGTTTATTTATATAAAATCTAAATTAGGTTTACATCAGTGAATAAAATGCTAACTTAACAATAGTAAAATGAATACACACTGGTTTCGAACTCTTTTGTTTCTGTGATTCAAGTTTTACTTCATTATCTGTAGAATTTAGTGAGTTTCTCGTTACATAGTTTATTTGTCTCGTTGTATAATATATAACAGTCATCTGCATAGCTTTAAAAAATTTCTGATTATGCTTTTATTTTATTGTGTATAGTTAGCATGACCGACTCTGCCAGGTTGGATCTATACACGTGTACAGATGTAAAAACTGATAAGTTACAAATGTCCACCTGGGCAAAACATACTCAAAATTTATATACAGCATGTTTAAGCATTACAGAAAATACAGAAAATAAATTTACATTATAATTTCTTAATCTTCTCCAGAACAAGAATCAAATGTATAATGAAACATCAAAATTGGGACGGATGTAAAGCTTAATGTCTATCGAAAGAGCTTCATTGTGAAATACGGATAAAAATTGTTAATGTGCAAAACGTTAGGATTCCAACTGTATTAGGATAACAATTACAGCATTCATTTCATAGAATAATGACAGGGCTTACAGTTACATCATGCGTTCCAGAAAAACAATTAAATGGAAAATACACCTTTGCGTAAGTTTTGAAGACGTATTGTTTTCATTCCTTAACAAATATTCATGAAAATATGAAAAATAACAATAAAGGATAGACAATTAGAAAAGTTCTCAATATAATACTTTCAAATAGCGATTAAGTTACATAAGAAAAAATACTGTGTAATAAAGTGAATTTCGAAATTATTTTGCAAATAAATCCCGCTTAACTATAATAAAGAATATTTAATACTTACACACAGTACATACTTTAAGGTATTTTCGTATAACTTTTAAATAATAACTTGTTACATATTTTCAACGTTAGCGGATATTCAATATCACAACTGATGTGTAAAAATTAAACACATAGAAAAAAATTGGTAAATTTTAATTACAATTTGTATCAAAGTAAAATTGAAATAAACGTAATTAATAAATCTTTTAAAATTATCCGATCATTTATTCTGATTATCCTGAAAATTTCATAAAATTTCTTTCCAAATTACGAGAGAATAGGAAATGAATTAAATCTTTTAGAATAGGAAATGAATTAAATCTTTTAAAAAATAGCAAAAACGAGCGCCAGAATGACTGGAATAAAAAATAACGCGTGAAAAGCAGTTTCCATAGCAACAAGAATTACAATTTTCACAAATGCCAAAAGAAAATATGTATCAGAATATAAAATTAATATTCCTAATGCTGTGGTCATAGATCCTTGCAGTATTGGAAAGCCTAAACGATACAGAGAGTCTTTCAGTTTTTCATTCGCTGTTTTACAATGTGACATGAAATAAGCGTAGGAAATATGAGCAGGATAATTCACGCTAAATCCTACACATAGAATAAGACTCATCATTGAAATAATATCTAAGTTGTTCCCCCACAGAGACATGTAACCTAAAGTTTCGACAACTGTACATACTACAGATATTGCAACAACAATCGAGACCGATATGCTTGGTACGAATATTAAAAAGGTTGCCGTTATTAGTACAGCAGTGATCCAAAACAATTGGTAAATCATTTGTCGAATGATGATTCCTTGTTCAATTACACTTGACTTAATACAATGCACTAGGACAGCAATGTCGGATTCGTCAGCAATTTTTAATAAATCTCTTAGTAAATCTGTTTCTATTTGTGACGAACTCAATTCTTTTCCCATAATAAAAAACCTACTGTATAGGATATGAGTATTGTTGCTGTTAAAGACAACATCATTAGAAAATGACTGAGCAGCTCTGATATTGAAAAATACATTGCGTAGCCCATCGATGAAGTCTCGTTCATTTGACATATTGTAACCTTGTAAAGAAAACTTTGCTACGGGAGTTTTCTGAAATTCTTTGTAGAATTTCATCCAGGATACAGCGAATTCTTCTCCAGCGATATTGGGATGTTCTTCGAATTTCCTTAACAGAGTTTTTATGGAATTTTGAATTTTTATGTTTGAGTAATCCAACGTTTCATTAATAATTATGTGAAAAGGATATGAGTAACGTGTAAAATACTTGAAATTTATTCTAATGCCTTCTGTAATCAGGGAGTCTTTTTCAAATAAATGTTCGTATTTAACACCGTCTTTTATGAAAAATGTGCCGAAAATTCCTAACGATAAATTAATAATAAAAATTATAATAATAGTTACCTTCACCAAGGGATTCGACAGTATTTTTCCTAATAAATTTTTAAACAGAGCCATAGTAAATTCTTCTTCTCTAGCATTATTTTCATTAGGATATTCTTCAGTTCGTTCTGAAATAAAAATATTCACAAGTTATATATCAAATAAGCAATGAAAAAGTCGATTGATATTAGATAATTTCAATGTAAAATTGTTATAAAATTTCTAGTAGTTAATTAGTGACATATAGGTGAACCAGGCTGATTTTTGAGAGTCGTAAGATGTTGCAAAATATTTTAAAGTTATTTTCTATTTAAAACTAACAAAAAATTGTGTTAAGATTATTATTTACTTGACGTTAGAGAAATGTTCGTTAAAAATATTTACTGTACCAATATAATAATAAGAAATGGTTTAAATCTACTTTATTTGGTTTATCATAAGGTTTATGTCTATTATTATATATTAATAATTTATATTTACTCTTAATAAAAGTAAATATTAACACTAGGAGGAAAGACTTATCAGTCTCATTCAGATTCTTCAAACAAATAAATTCGTGGAAATAAATGTGTCGCGACTTCACACAGTTTTATTAGGAACATCACAATGATTTTATGATGAGTGATAAGAACTTTTATTACTAGTATGCATTTCTGACACAAAGGTCTTTATCAGCCATGCATGATTACACTGGTCACTACAAAGAGATAATCTATTTGTATCTATTTGTTGTTACCATTATATTTAAATAAGGCTGTAGAGAATCCTTGCCACGGAAATGCATCTAATATATAATCGAGACGGGTTGATAATAATAATAATAATAATAATAATAATAAGCGCAGAGCCCAAACGGTTATGAGTTGAAAGTTGAAATTTGGTACACAGATAGGGTACGTTAGGAGAACGCACACTAAGAAGAAATTTTTCGAAATTCCTCCCCACGGGGAGAGGGACAGGATTAAGGCTTAACACTTCCATTAACAATGGAAGTGCTAAGTAACAATGGAAGTGTTAAGTAACAATGGAAGTGCTAAGTAACAATGGAAGTGCTAAGTAACAATAGAAGTGTTAAGTAACAATGGGAGTGTCAACAATGGAAATGCTACGTAACAATGGAATTGTTAAGAGAAAGCGACGTGCAAGACGCAGATGCAGTTTTTTTCATTTTTGCGGGAAATCGAACATATTTTTAGACCCATCTAAAAATTTTCTAATTAGTCTGGAAACAAGGGGACCCAATTCTTGCATTCTGTGAAAACGGGTAAGGTTTACTGTAACGTAATAATCTTTATCTCAGTTATCGTTACTTTTGCCCGAGCAACGCCGGGCCCACCTGCTAGTATTAGTAATAAAAATTGCTAATCAATTATTAAAATTTCTTTGTGATGTTCTTAATAAGTTTGTGAGAAGTCTCAAATTTAAAATAATAAATAACCCAGAAAGGTTATTTATTCATGTTGATTGTGCACAATCCAATTTTCTACACGTAAAAAATGACTAAAGCTGTGGCGATGCTGTATTCGCATTTTCTGGGAGAAACTACAATGCCGACGTGCTTCTTATCTAGATGTAAAAGATGGAAATTTCGATGAAAATAATATAATGTGAAGTTTTAAAGTCTAATGTTAAAAAAAATTATGTTATAGATGCATTTTTGGAGAAGTGCAGTAGAGCCATACCAAAAAATGACTAGACTTTGACTACAAACGGCTACGTTTATGATGTACATTTTGATTAACACTATATTAAAAACTTACAAAAATAACATAAATGATCAGAGTGTAAAAAAGTGAATGAGGAAAATAGGTGTTAATACCTAACGTATCTGTTATTTTTAAATTTAATCTGTAAAAATAAATCTGTTAAATTTAATTATTTTTAAATTTGCTCAATACCTTTCGAAGATTATGTCGCCAAAAACAAAATCGCCTTGAAAGAAAAGGGAAAGCATTTCAAACATGATACCATGGATTTCGTAATAAAGAGGAACCAATAGGAAAGCGAACCAATAGGAAAGCGGGGAAGAAAAAGCCCGACCAATTAGAAATGCATCGATCTCAAAAAACTTATAAAACCTCTGCTGTCAAGGACAATGGAGCTTCCTCTAGAACAGTGGTTCCCAATTAGTGGTACGCGTACCCTCAGGGGTACGCGAAATTGCACGAAGGGGTACGCGCAGCAATCTAAAATCGGTCGATTTAAATTTAAATGCACGAGATGAAGCAATCAAAAAATAATGGTGGACCATCAAAAATTCGGCAATTTACAACATGATGTCGAATGCACAAATTCGTTTATTTATAACTAAAAATATTTTCGAAATTTCATCAAAAAATGCATTTGTGACAATACCTAAATGAAATTCTTACGCAAGAAACAAAAATTGTACAATTAACACAAATTGTGTTAATTGTACAATTATCATTATCATCATGTCAGCGAAGCGGCAATAAAATATTTTCTACCATTTTGCAGAGCATACCTCTGCGAGAGCGGATTTTCGGCCGTGACAAACATGAAAACTAAACATCGTCACCGACGTCGACTCGAAGGTGACTCGAGACAGAAGCTGACCAAAAAGCGACCAGATTTTACAAAGTTGTGCAAAGATAATCGTGCACATTTGTCACATTAAAATTAAATAATCTTATGCTATTTTCATTATTATTAGAATTGTATTTTAAAAGTAATAAATGTAGAAAAAAACTTATTCTATTTATCACTACCTGTCTACCCACAGCTTATTATATGGAATTTTCTCGTGGGAGTAAGATATTTTCTCGCAGTAAAATGTAGCCCATGTTCATCTCTAACATGTAAGCTATCTCTGTGCCAAATTGTATTAAAACCTGTTCAGCGGTTTAGACGTAAAAAAATGACAGATGGACAGAATTACCTTTAAATTTATAATATTAGTATGGATTAATATGTATTCAATCTATAAGGGGTATGCGAGTTTGAGCTCTTTCTTGAAGTGGTACGCAGGAAAAACTAATTGGGAACCACTGCTCTAGAGAATACCATTAGTGGCCGTCGTTTTCTTTTATTTATATATATGCCTATATCTTGTATATATGTAACGATCTTTGAAGTTAACCAAAATTCACAGAAATACATTAAATCTATTATATAAAGCTTCTTGTTTAAAAGTAATTTTAACTTACCATATCTCACAAATTTTCTATCACGAACTTTTTCTTTTTTCTCTGTATCCACTTAATGCCAAACATCCTCCGAAAAACGTTATCTGATATGCGAAATTAAACACTATGCAAGTTGCAGTGTAATAACTGAAGATTCGAATGAAAGGAAATGGCGCCATCATTCCGATGCAATACGAAATGAAATTTGTGAGTGAAGTTTGTGTGATGGAAACTCCTGCTTCGACATATGTCGCTTCCAACCGTTTTTCAACTCTATGTTCGTGATCAGTGATCCTCCAACACCCTATTAACACGAAAGCGTCGTCAATCTCGGTTACTGAAACAAACAAAATTTTTAATGTATTACAAAATTTTTTGGTACATTTGCAGCAACACTGACTTACTTACCAAGAACTAAAAATTGAATAGTCGCATTCCAGTAAGTATTTTCCACACCCGATGCTGCCATTAATCCAAAAGACGATACAACAGCCAAACCCACACTTGCTAAACCGAGAAGAGGTTTACTTCTGACCCAACTATTGCTCATGTTAAGAAACATCGAAAGACCAATCATAATTGCGACCAAAACTCCTATCTTTGGTTTTGTTCTATCAAATTCTGTACGAAAACCATTTTCTATTGCTAATGGTGAGTATGGGATGACTTTGACATATGTAAAATGATATTTTTGAATTTCCTCATAAACATGGTTGGACCATTTATCGAACAATTTCTTTTTCACTTCATATTTAACTTNTGGAAACTGGTTTGGCATGGCGTGATTGAATTTCTGAAAATTAGATAACGAATAAGGCATTAACAGACAAATTGTTATAAAATACTAGAAAATGCAACATCTGATAGAAAAGCATCTGATTATTACAATTGCAGTTCTGAGTATAGAATTTCCGATTAATTTCTTTTTGGATACTTTATGTGTTAAAAAACATTAACAGTAGTGATAACAATCAAAATGATCCTATTATAATGTATGATTTATAGTTGACGCGAAGGTCGAGAAAGAAAACACCTGACCGAAGCAAACGATTCGAATGAAACAAAGATTCGTTAGAATCGTTTGCTTCGAATCGAAAGTTGCTTCGGTCAGGTTTGCTTTCGAATCGAAAGTTGCTTCGGTCAGGTGTTTTTGCAATTAAGGACACAAAAGCATTTACATGTGATACTAATAAAGTTTACTAAATTATGTGAATTTTTTTCCTTATTAATTATTATTTCCATTTTTACATTGTTCATTACACATGGGTGT